TGTGAATAAATTTACTTGTTCAATTAAAAGTAGCAAAATATTCAACAGAAGTCACTTTTTGTGTCTGCTCGGTATCAGAAAAGACACACATCTGGTTTAGTAAAATCTCAGATCCCTTTTTGAGATGTAATCCAGCAGTTTTCAGTTTAAGCCCTGTAAGATTTTTTTGCTTTAGATTATTTCCAAGAAGTGATTATAACATGATCTTGACCGATATAGGAGTTCAGTTAAAAGGTGGGGATGAGGAGCCATGATTCTTATATTTGTAGAATAAGTAGCAACTGCATTTATAAATTATTTATATTATAATGATTGCAGTATTATATGAGTTACCAGTAAATATTTGTTGCCTGTGTTAAGTTAATTAATGTAGCTTAACATGAATTAGGACACGTTTCTGGCAAGAAAATCTATAACTACATGTTTTTTTTGCATTTATTTCTCATGCGTAATGAAATAATTTAACAACAAGCAGGTTCAAAAGAGAATGAGACTCTGAGGGAATGGTCATGGTGATTATCAGTGAAACTAAAATAACAAAGGTGCTAACTATGGTTGGAGGTTTAGGCCAGAAACTCAGTGGTATCAGTGAAGTGCCAGAATGACCTCAGCTGTAAATGTGGTAAAAAAAACACGCCCTTGGATCTTATTTTCCATGACAACTTCCACAGAAGGGTTATTTGTTGAGTACATCTGACAGAAGAAGTAAATTAATTTATGGGTCATTTAGAAGAAAAGGCCTGAGTAATGTAGAAAGTCACACCAGTGCAACTCACACTCAACACGTACGGCCTCTGTAATCATCAACTGGTGGTCTGTGGGTCAGATCTGGCCTGTGAGTTCTACACATTCGGCCCAAAAGGGTTTTTATCAGATTGATCTGAACTGGCTGACAGAAATACACACTAAGACAACATGCTGATGATCATCAGGGTGCTCGGGCTCTTTAGGGTGTGAGAAACACTTACATCATAATGACTATTCGTATACCAAGTATCTCTGCTTCCATTGTTGGAAACTGGAACCAGTTTAAAGAAACCACCATGTTTTATTTTTTTACAATAAGAGCCTGCGCACTAGGAATGTGTGGTTTTAGATCCTGCCTGCTCCATGCATGCAGTCATGGTGTTACATGACCTGTGTTTTTAACAGATGATTTGGTAACTTTTGATGGGATGTTTGATCAAATGTACTGGTTATCATTAGTTAGTTATTATCAGCCAATGAGCATGGAGTGTGGAGAAAAGGGTGAACGTTTTAGACCAGGCTGGGCTACTCCGCTCACAAAACAACAAAAGAACGCATCGTTAGCTAATCAAAAAACTACGTTTTGCATGACAGGTTTAGTTTGTCACTGTTTTCTCAACTGCACTATGTCCGCGTTACTATAAATCTGTGTGCGCTCACCATAAATCATTATATGCCGATGGTGCTGAAGCTGAGTGTGTCATCTATCAGTGGGCAGTGTGACGTTTACTCGACACCCAGACATTTATCAGTGCACAGTCTATGGCTGAAACGTGTCACTCAGGTTGGAGTCCAGGTTCAGAGACATATCATTTTTTCCACAGCGCCACCTGAAATGGAAACTAAAGCGGGTTCGTCTTTTGCGGTCTTGTCTAAACAGCGATTGTTATCCTATTGTACCATGTGAACATGTAACGTTTTTACAATCAACATTGGAAAAATCTGTAAGGTTGCAAGAACGATCGTTCACATGTAAACAGCCTAAACCCCGCGGCCTTTGAGCAACACGCTGCTTTTGGGTTTTTTGTTTTATACATCAAAGTTCATGCTCAATAATCCAGTAAAAAAATCCAACAAAGTTCAGTCAGGTCCTCTGGACAGTTTCTTTTTTGTTGTTGAAACGTTTCGTCTTTTATCCAAAGGACTTCATCAGTTTGAGGATTTTTTTTAAAACCTGGATTATTGAGCATGAACTTTGATGTTTTGTCCATGGCTGCCTCAGAGGAGTCGACGGGGGGAGAGGGCGGACTCCAGAAACCATTTTATCACCATAAAACTGGTTGCCCACTATGTGAGAAAACCACTTATGGGATTGAGTTGGTTGTGGCTCCTTGGACTGATGAAGTCCTTTGGACGAAGAACGAAACATTTCAACAACAAACAAATAAAGAAACCGTCCAGAGGACCTGACTGAACTTTGTTGGGTTTGTTTTTTACCTTCAGGAATTAATATTGTTTCCTTAAAACTCCCACGTTGTTGTTTTCATCTAACGTAGCGTCTGAGTGATTCACAGATAAAGTCACAAGCAAAACTTCTCCATGAAGAACAAAAGAAGAGGAACACTGTCCAACATCTTTGGAGGAAACAACATGTTCAGTACTGTCAAACTACGGCAGCAGGAATCTAAATAAATAAGTCATGATTACCAGAAAGACGGCTAATCAAAGACTGGCCCCCGCACTGTCTGATTACAAAAAGTCTGGACCTTGAGCACATAGTGACCTCTGACCCCCCCCCACACACACACACACACACACACAGAGCTTTGTAACGTTTCATGCACTCACTTCTCCTGTTCACTCCTTGAAGTCCCCGTTCTTTTCCATTTTTTCCTGAAAACGCAGGCACTCTTCCTAACTCTGTTATTATCTTCACCTCCTATCAAAGCCTCCCTCCCCCCACTCACCGTGCACCTTCACCCCCCTCCACCCAAACCCCTCCTAAGTGGATGCCCCACAGGAAGGGTTTTCCATGCGAGGAAATGGGCCCCTGATGTCTTCCTTGTCACCAGCAGCGCCTCCTGGGACGGGCCGCTTGAAGAATGGGTATGGAGGGGCAGACGGGGGCATACAGTGTGCTGTGCTGAAGCATCAATAAGAACAGCCCGGGAGGGTGACGAAACTCTGAGGGTGAAGGTGAGGAGGAGCGTAAAGACCGGCTCCTTCTGTTGGGCGCAGTGTGGATTTCCAAACACATCACTTGTGATCGGTCACACCGCTGAGCTCCTGCTCACGGAGCGCGTCATCCAAACCTTTTGTTGCGTGACGAAGATTTGACTTGAACGCGTTACAAATTTTTAGGAACCCCACCTCCCTCCTATCATGGGCTCCACAGCATCAGCATGTCTACCCTTGGGTTCAAAACCATCTGGTTCAGAGACAGAAAGAGACAATCGTCTGCTTTTTTCTCATTTTTTTTAAGATCCAAGTTTTCCTGTTTGTAAGCGTACGTAGAAATATGCACGATCTCCCTTTGCTCCACAAAGGGTTAATTATGATCCCTGTGCAAACAGAACCAAGATGAGAGCAGGGCCCGAGCGTTTAGTGAAACATTATGTCAGGACTCTGACAAGGAAATGAAATGTGTAACATCAATCAGCCTATGAGGATCAAGATCAAACGAGCCTCCACACTCCTGCATCTGGTTCTGTTTGGACAGCCTCACTTTTTTTTCTCTCCCCCCGCCTGTTCTCCTTTCTTCTTCTTTTCCGTTCTCTCGTTCTTATTCCTCTCCTTTCCTATTCTTCTCCTCCTGTTGGCCTTCTTATTAGCTCATTTTTTCCATCATGGTGGCACGGGGCCACGTCTTCGCTCCTGAGTTTACCATCAGCAGCGATGACGGTCCTGTCCTCCCTCTGTCTCCGTCAGGACGGAGCTGACTTTAAGTAAATTAAACCTCTTTCCACTGATGGTGGCCACTTTTTTTCTTGTTACAGTTGATTGATCCCAACAGGGATTTTAGTTGCTTCGAGTACATGAATGAAATGTGAACCAGTGAAATCACAAGGTTCATCAACAAAATCTTCTGACCCACTCTCCGCTGCTGAAAGCTCGCCAGAAGTCTCGGTTAGAAGCTGTCAGGCAGCATTTAATGGCATGAAGCTTAATCACACGAATCAATTCATTAACAAAAAAAAAGCCATTCTTAATTAATTTTGTCTCAACCCAGACTGGTTTTAAACCAGCTTCATTCTGGGTCAGATTTTTGCACCTCAACAACCTCTCATGCGCTGTCATCAAAAAGTCCAACATTTCTACAGAAGAGAGCAGCGGAAAACTTCCCGCAACATGTCCTCCAGTTATCTGCACATGAGTCAGCCGGTCGTGACGCGTGTAGGTATAAATGGTTACTGATGGGAAACTGAAAAAAAAAAAAAAGGCGTGGCGCAATTGTGGATTGACGCAAAATTTAGTAATTGGTTGAAATTGTTGGTTGCACAAACAAAAACCTGATGTCATGTTTCTCAGCAGGGCCTACCTTCTGTGCGGTGGACACACCTTCAGCTGTGAGGAAAACGTCTGTAAGGGGCTGCAGATGCAGATGTTGCCTTCAGGCCAGGACGGTACAATTAGGCGCACTCGCTCTCGCCTTTGCAGGCTGGGGTGTTTGGGTCGCTGAGGTCAGGGGTCGTTCAGGGTCCTGCCTGGGCTCTCCTACCGTCCCAGCGTTGAGACAGCAAACATCAGGAGTGATTATGGAGATGTTTGAGCATAAAGAGCTAGTCTAACAAAGATAATTTAGGCTGAGATAGGTTTATTTGAAGAAATCCAGTTGCTAATTTTACATCTGTAATTAATATAAATTTTTCATCCTAATGGGGATTTTCTTTCTCTGCTTTTTGAGACGAGTCAAATTAGATACGTTGTTAGAAAGCGGAGAAGGATGTCGTCTCTATAATTATCGCCATAAAACTAGATGTAATAAGTATTAAGGACTGAAGCATACATGTGGTGACGGTCAAACATGTGAGGTTTGTGTGCACACAAGGATGCAGGCGGACCGAGGGTCCAGCCCAAATCTGGAACCCATAAACCTCAGACTTCTCTGCAACATTAGATGCAGCGCTTCTTACTGGCTGTTTGGGCCGCTTACCCCCTTCCTCCATCACCCGCCCAGTTAACGTACACTTCCTGCTTTTTCCAGGCTGAACCCCGCCCTCTGAGAGGCCGCCGAGCCAATGAGAAAAACTCGCAGGCCTTGAGTTGGCGTTTGGCTTATAAAAGAGGTGGAGGTAGACCTGCTTGTCAGATGGTTTGTTGTTGTTCTGTCTGGTGGACAGAGAAAGGGAATGTGGCAGTTGTGACATTTAAAAACCAGGAAACGGGAAAGTCCGAGGCTGAACCTGATGGAGCTGCAGCCGTAACTTTGTCTGACGGGAGACGGTTTTTGCCAGACTGAGGTGAGAACAGAGCCGTACCAAATCTTCTCAGAGCAGCGGAGGTCACCCCTGGACACCGCCATGAGAGAAGAGGTGTCCTGCACCAACTCCCCTGAAGGAGGGCTGGGGGCCAGCGAGGAGGAGCTGGAGAGGGCGTCCAAAAAGACCCTCCAAAATCGAAAACGATCGCCTTATCCAAAGAAGGACAGCCTCAGTCAGACGGAGGAGAGCAGCACCGGCAGCCTGCTGCCCACCGGGCCTAAGAAAATCAAGAAGAGCCCCTCGACCATCGTGACGTTGGCCCCCTCCTCCCTGGGGCCCAGGCCTGAGGCTCCCTTCGAGGAGCTCCACTCTCAGCGCGTCATCGCCAACGTCCGGGAGCGTCAGCGCACTCAGTCTCTGAATGACGCCTTTGCCTCCCTACGCAAAATCATCCCCACGCTGCCCTCCGACAAGCTGAGCAAGATCCAGATCCTGAAGCTGGCCTCGCGCTACATCGACTTCCTGTACCAGGTGCTGCAGAGCGACGAGATGGATGCCAAGCTGGCCAGCTGCAACTACCTGGCCCACGAGAGACTCAGCTATGCCTTTTCGGTCTGGAGGATGGAGGGGGCCTGGGCCATGTCCACCAGCCACTAGGACCCCAACAAACCTCTGTCACACACCCTCCTGTGTCCTCACCTCCACCCTCTCAACCTCTGTCTGTGTTTGCACCCACTTCCTGACCTTTGACCCCCTGAATGACTTCCTTATGGTCTGATCACAACCTCCATCTAAAACCTTTGCTTACATCTCTGATCCTGCAGAACCTCTGTGCTGCATGATGGTTCACTGCCTTCTTTTTATATTTTTACAGCTGAGCTTAAGTTTTAGCAAACTTCCACACCTGTCCACCACCCCCAACACACACCCCCAACACACACACACACACACACACACACACACAAACACACTGTTTCCAGTTTTCGTCCTTGTCCGTCCCACAGTTTTGTCCAGAGCAGCATCACTTCCCTGCAGCTCGTCAGGTAAGGTCAAAACACACAAACACACACGTTTCAGTTCATTATCCGTAATTATCAGCACAACAAATATTTAAACAACACACACACACATTCATAAAAGGAAAAAGACAAAGAAACACAAGTCTGGTGACAAAATATTGTGTTTAGAGAAGAAAATTCAAAAATATGCTTAAAATGTTGATTTTGTGGCACAAAAAAATAAAATGTGTTCACACTTTTTATCCTCACACGTGGGAACTTTTAATTTTAACGCAATTTTATTTAACAAATTTAGTCCAAAAGTGATTACGCTGATTTAATAAAAGTTAAATTTTATTTTAAGTAAAATCGAAAGCGTTTACTAATCAAACGTCAGAACATTTAATTTTTAACTTCAACTATTTATGTAATCCTACAAACCAGAGTATTTTGTAGCTGCAAAACTTAACAGAATGTGTTGTAAACATGTTTTTCAAGTACGGTAGTGATGAATACGTGCGCGTCTTTTGTTGGTAATTGCTCTTAAAACTGCAATTTCTTTTTTTAAAAGCAGGCAAGTAAAAAAAATAAATAAAAAATAGAAGTTAGCATTAGCATTCAGCTTGTTTTAAAGCCGGGCAGCGTGTGTGTAAAACTATAAAATGTAGGAAACAATGTCATAAGGTCATGATGTAATAAAGTTATTTGTGAGACAAAATTAATTTGAGTTCTTTTAAAAATAGCAAAAATGAACAAGATTTTATTTTTCCTTCTAAAAATCTGTTCCGTTCACACGTGCACCTAAACAAAACCATATTATAGACAATAAACCACTGCGTGTTCCCACAAGAACATCTCATTTTATAAAAGTGTGTCCTCTCAGACGGATGAGACTAAAACCATCATTACAACAAATAACGTGAAGGTAATTAATGCAGAGTCCTGGTTGTGTGTCTGAACTGAAACCAGCGATTATCTGCGAGGTAATCTAACCCTCGGAGCTGCAGTGTTTGACAGAACTCTGATGAATTTAAGACAAATGTTTTCCCCCGCAGTCTCCGGGGTCTGTTTTTCTTTTTCAGCCACTTTAACAGATACCAGATTACCGTACAGGTAGAGCATGAAAGGAGAAAGGGAGAGTGAGGAGGGAAAAAAGAAAAAGAAGTGGAGGCACATCGCTCCCTCTCCCCCCGCAGCCTTGCCCTCTTTTCTTGAGGATCCTGTATCGTGCAATCAGGCCTCGCCGGGGCCCAGACAAGCAGGAACCTTTAGATTGGAAACAGTTGTGGTGTATTAGGAAGGTGTGTGCTCTGGGGTTGGGGTCAGCCGTGCAGGCCCCGTGTACGTCAGTGCATGTGCACGCTGTGTGTTTGGAGCTTTAATTAGCTGTGCAGCAGTGAGCGAGGCCATGTGATCCAACGGATAAACAGGAATAAACTCACAGATTTGATCTCGCTCGTCTCCTGCAGGCTTTTGAAAATCAGTCACAAGAGCAGCAGGACTTCCTGGCTGACATGTCAAAATGTGACAAAATATTAAAAAGTTTAAAGCAATTAAAAAAAAAAAAAAAAACATTTTTGGTTAGAGAAGTGACGAGGAGCAGATGAATCTGTTGCTGTTCTGCTGGGTGACAGTTCAAGGTAAACACCTTTCAAACCCCGGCACATGTTCCAGCAGACGAATCAGAGAAACACACACACACACACACACACAGCTGTGGTCCATGTGCACCCTGCAGGTGTCCCACCATGAACTAACAATAAAACCTCCATCGGCCTCGACATCACAGCACGTTTCAGTTTTGGTGCGGATGGAGAGCAGAGGCTCCTGCATGTGCGAACGCGTGTCCTTGAACGCCTCACGAGCTTGCTTGCTCTGCCTGTGATCATCAACTCTGACTGTGCAGGAAACCTGACCAGACCCAGAAAAAAAAAGACACGAGGTTAGAACGAGTCAAGAGGCTTCAAAGACGGTGACCGAGGACACGGTGCAGATCAGTGAGAACATAAAGATAAAACATTTAGACTTTTTTTTATTTTTTACAGTTTTAATGTGCACCTCTGTAGACAGATGTCACACAACACCACTAAAACATTTAACATGAAATGTTTTTGGTTGATTCATAAAAATAATTCAGTGATAATTCTGGGTTATAGTAAATCATATACTCAGCTGCAGCAAATAAAATCAAAATGAATCAACTTTCACTATTTGCTGTCATTTCATCTGTATGTAATAATCTTAAAATCTGCAACAGCCCCTTCCAGAAGCATGCACACACAAGCACGAGCGCATCTCCGTAAAGTTGTGCAGTTCCTAAGGTGCATGTGGACGTCTGGCTCTGCGTGAGACGTCCAGATTGAGAGGACGGTTGGAGAAAACAATCCTCTTTCTGTTGTTTACTCTATAATCACAAATCTCCCAGTGGCTCCTTCCTCTGCAGAATCTCCTGGCTCTGCTGCAGCCATCTTGTGTGTGTGTGTTGTGTTTTGAGTTGACCAGCTGTTGGACACACTTCTGAACACATTAAATCTCTGGCACTCACTCCTGGCTGATCTGGGGCCAGATGTAAAGGCCTCTGTGGCTCATCAGCACTGTGGCAGGAGCTGTGGTTTCTGATGGTCGTTTTCATTTTTAGACATGGAAGCTGAGCTGAACACAGGTGGGAGGACGGTGTGCGAGTTGGTGTATTTGTTGTTGCGTGTCCTCTTGTGTCGTGTCCAGACGGCCTCAGGGCCAAGGGTTTGACACGTAGGCGACGAAAAGCCACATGACTTCAGCCTGAAATGTAAACCGTCAAAGAAACCTGTACAAGTCACCGTCACAGACGGAATGATAAAAACATTTCAGTCATTTTAAGAAGAATAGGAAGTCTCTCTGATGTGTGCGTTCTGGAGCCACTCTGTAATGACAGAGCTGCAGATTAAATGTCTGCTTGTTAAAAAAACAACAAAAAAAACAAGAGAGCTGAAGGAATTTTTCCACATTTGTTTGCTTGTACACATTTTATAACCTCAAAACTGTGAAAATTCACTCCGACGTGCGTTTACGAGTAACATCGACTCATCTTTGTGTCTTTTCTTCGCAGATAAACCATTAACGAGGAATTCTTCAATTTGCTCCTGCTTCTTCAGATTTTCTACATTTTCCCCACCCTCACGCACCCCCCCTTTTAAAATGTTTATTCTTTAATCGTTGGACATGTGCTTGACTCCTGATGCGTCCCCCACCGGGTGTTTCTGAGACTCAGACTCTGCTGAAAATACTGAGACAAATGCAAAAACTGAACAAACAGCTGGCCTGCGGTGACAATGAAACTACAAATGGCTGCTGGTGCGAGTGCCTTCGATGAGACCGTGATGAGCTCCCCCCCGACTCCTCTGTCGGATGGCTCCCAGCCTGACAGACATTAGGATGACTAATGATGATGGCACAGTGATGGTTAGAGGGCGGTCACAGCTAATTTATGTTTACAGCAAAAATACTAATAAGCTAATCGCTCCGGCTCTTTAAAAGAGAAGAAGAGCTGAAAGAATCTTCTTCTCTGTGCTGCAGTATTCCCAACAGCTTCCTGTGTTAAAAAAAAAAAAAAAAAAGCATTTGTGTAAATCTGGTGCATGCACACGGCTTATGCTTTACTGTTTTAATTAAAATTAAATAAAAAACACTGATCACAGCTGTTTATTTTCATATCAGCCTGTATGTTGGCAAGTAGCTGCAGAAAGTCGTACTCTAAAATGCGACTTTAAAATGTCTTTGTAATAGTAAAAAATAAAATAAAAAAACAGCAGAAGTTTTCTTAGAAAATGTGCCAAAGTGTTGATGAGGTGAATCCTTTCAGAGCGGAGCAGATTATTTTTTAACTGTGTGAGCAATTGAGTTTTGATTATGTTTCTTCTTCAGCATCTCCCCCCATTTGCTTTAATCATTTTGTCTTTTGTGAACAATAAAGTTTTACCCAATGTTGTAAACAAGCGAAGTACTTTTATAATCAAATCATTTATGCATTCGTTTATTTTGAAAATCCGTCTATTTTTGGATACAGAGGACTATAAAAAGATAAAACATACTATTAGAAATAGAGCAAATGTATATAATTTATTAAAGATTGTTTTAAAAACATAACAGAATAGTAAAAAGGTAGAAAAAAGACAAAAAAGTAATTATGTACACTGTACAGGAACAAAATCAGTCAATTCTGATAAAAACAGACTTGGCCTGAAGTTTAAATTGTTTACCTTCACACAGGTTGGTCAGGATGATCATTAAACTGAGAATTTGGTCTCTAGGCTTTATTTTAGATCATATATATATATTTATAACAAACTGTATTAGTTAAGACAAAAGGATGAAACAGAAAGTTTGTTTTTGTCATTCAAAATGATTTAAAGCTACACTGCGCTGTCGGGCCGAGCAGCTGAAACTGCAAGAGCATCAGCTGCTCTGCCGCCGTGTCCGATTTCACATTTTTATGATTTTAAAAAGAATTAAACGAGTTCTGAGGTGCATCTTTAACGCAACGCACAGACAGAACAGGAAGGAAAGCAAACACGCCGTATTAGCACCATCTTAACTGTGTTAGACACGCACTGAACACATCAAAGACACGTCAAGAACATGAAAATATAAATACGTGTAACGTCAAATGATTCTGTTTATGGATCCGTGCTTTTGATGCTTCCTGACTGTTTGGAAAAAGAAAAGAAACATTCACAAAGTCTTTGAGGCCATTCCAGTCCCCGGACAGCACATTGTTCTCATAAACTTTGGTTGGGTTTAACCTGTGTTCAGTTCTATGTGGATATCACCCACTTTATGTTCAGCTACCCATCGTAGCTGCTAAACGCCACGGCTCGGTCCCGGGCACAAAGCGCTTCCCTGAAGATGTCGATAAACAAAGCAGCGCTTTGTAAATGAAGAATAAGACAAATCAGACATCCTTTTTAAGAGTTAAAATAATAAAAACATTGTTTAAACACAGCAGGAATGCTCATCCACAGGAAGAAACACCTCATTGTCTGACCCCATGTCTGAGGGCAGTGTAAGTGCACTTTGTGTGATCGTCATAAGGTTTTGAACCCAAAATATAAAAATGTGGTCTGCATCGTCACATGATACAATCTTTACTGAGTGGTAAGTTGCACTGAGGCATCATGGGAGATCTCGGTCCTTTACGACGTGCGGAAACCTTTCAGATTCTTGTCTCGTCATATTGATGCCCCAGTGAGAAGAGGTCTAGCTGTTCATGGTGACTAAAGCCCCCAGTACAAATACAGTATACAGACATATTTAAGATGCACTTTGTGAAAGACGGACGTGTCTTCTTTCATCTGTCAGAGAGTGAAACCAATTACTGCAGCTATCTAAACGCTCGCTGCATGTGCTCGTCTGACAGGCCAAGAAAGAAAGAAAAAAATAAAAGAGTTTTAAGAAAATACGTGGACATAAAAACAATACAAAACATATGTATCTCAGACTTCATTGTAGCTTCACTCTGGGTTACTGGAGTCTTTAAAAAAAGGTTTTCTTATGGACATTCACAAAAAAATGAGTGCCTTAAGTCAAAAGAACAAATATTCAAAGAAAGATCAAACAAAATGTTTGATCGTCGACTCGCTTCTCCTCATTCTTGTCCAGTTGGAGAGCAATACAGTGCAGAAGATGAATAAAGTCTTTTTTCCTTCATTGGTTCTTTGTCACATGCAGAAAAATGACAGGAAGTCGTTTAGAACGTGTGGAGAACCTGTCTGCTCTCTCACACCTGTCGTCTGAGTGGTCACTCATGCTACATCGTGTTGCACCCGGTGCTACGAGGAAGTGAAGGTTTTTCTGCTTTTGGGTTTTAAACAAAAATCTCAGATCAGTGAGTGAAAGCTCCTTCAGGAAGAGACCTCCTGAGAATATGAATGTGGTCCATCTGGTCCTCAGTGGTCAGACTGCAGGCAGTAGTAATGCAGGAGGTCCTGCTCCCAGTGACGATCCAAATGCATAGTTTTTGTACGTGTCTGTGTGTGTGCTGGCACCGAGTTAAGGCTCAATGGATCAGATGTTTTCCTCACATCAAATCTTTTTTCTCTGATGTGATTTCAGGCTGCTTCCTACAAAAACAAAACAAGACAAAACGTTTATTACACTCAAAGCTTAACGTTAGTATGACGATTAAATGTTAGCTATTAAGAAGAGAGTTCAGATTTTTTTGAAGCAGGATTCTGTGGAAAGGTTATAAACGATCAGTATCTTACTTGTTGAGTGTAACTCTGACAAGACTGAGGAGCTAATGGCTAGTCCAAGTGTGGCCAGGAACAAAGAAGACCGCTGTGGTCTTAAAACAATTCCAACATCAGAACTCGGAAGCAGTTTACGCAAACACTTGATTATAATATCAATCAACCTTTATTTATACAGGTAAATCCCATTGAGCCTCGAGGACTCATTTACAAGAGAGACCTGATTTCAACAAAGAAAGATGACAACAATGGACAACAGCAACAACAATAAGCAGTTATAAAAACTCATACTACAGTTTTTTTTGTTTTTTTTTTTAAACAAATAGGATGGCTAAAAGGAAAAAGGTAACAAAACAAAAAACAGCTAGATTCCAAGACAAATGTAGAAAACTAAAAACAGGAACATGTCTGCATTGGTCCCTGCCAGGAGTCCAACAGATTCTTAAAGACACTTAGAGAGGTCAAGGTCGAGAGCTTCAAATCTTTTTGTAAGATATTCCAGGAAACAGGAGCGGAGTAGGAGAAGGCCCTTTTGCCTAGTTCAGTCCTCACTGAGAGAACACTAATAAAATATTACTTGATTATAATACTTCAAATTATGATTATTTCATAGTCTACAAATATTCCAGCAGGATGCGTTTCAGCATGGGAAGCGCTACAGCTAGCTGCTGCTTCTAATTCTTACAAATACGCACATAATCCTATTTAAATAACCACGTAATGTGAAGCTGACTGTGCTGTCATTTTTAAGCTTGAAGATGTTTTCAGACGGCAACAATCCACTCTGATCTTGGCCCCGCTGTGACTAGCCATTAGCTCATCGATTAAACTCTTTCTCCAAAGTGAGGCTGTTCAAACACTGAATGTAAATCAAAACATTTCCACTGCACTCCCCTTCAAACACCTGAACTATTCTTCTCTAGGTGATCCTTACCTTTCTGATGCGAGGGATCCCATCGACAAAGAGGCGATGGCGCTGATCGCCTCGCTGTCTGAATCTCGTCTGAGTCGGTGTCTCTGCGCCTGCAGGTAGGACAGCTCCACCGTGGCGGCTGAATCCCTCACACTCTGCCAGTACTCACCTGTGGTGGGCAGAGGAATGGAAAACAGGGAGACCAGGAAGGAAACAGGAGGGAGACAGATTAATGGTCTCAGTTGTTTGTTTCTGTGTTTTCATCCTGAACTGTTCCTAGAGGGGAAGTGCCTAAATTATATTAAAAAGAAAAAACTAAACGCTACTTAGTGTTTGATCCACTGGCTGTAGATGTTTGATCTGAATATAAGCAGCGACTGTGACATAAACAGCCTGAGGTCTAAATATCCGTGTTGATACTTTCAGAAATGTAAACTCGGATCCGGTCCATTCTCTCAGGGCCTGAAGTTTTGTGTCACACAATGAGGGGAAAAAAAAAAAAAAAAAAAAATCAGTGACTGCAACTGTGTTCATCTATAAGTGAGTGTGTGTTCTGGCTGAGCATGCAACTTACATATACTTCACCCTGGGCCTGAATTATGGGCTTAACATTCCTGCGGCTACTCAAATATTTTTAATTAATCTAATTTGGTTGGGATAACATTTGTGTGCAATCAGGAGGGGATGTTGTGAAGGTCGTGTGCCAGCGAAATGTTTGAAGATAATTGGAGCCAGGGCGGCTATGTGCGAGTGTGTGCATGTGTCTGTGTGTGGGACGGCTGGAGTGATGGGAGACAGGGATGTAAAGGAGGAGAGGTGGCCAGGGACACAAGTGTTAAATGGAATAAGAAAACACAGACACACCGTTTAGGGGAAAAAAAAAGTTCAAACGTGAACACTTATGAATCAAAACCTTTTTTTGTGAAATAAATTGGTAGTTTTATTGACAAAACAATATAGCATATCTTTTTTTAGTTGGTTAATATTGGGAGAGCTTCAGTTATAACCACGGTGGATTATCAACACGTTTGATATAAATCATCTCCTGAAAGCACTGGTTGATGGAATCTTGTTTGTTCCACATAAACCAGTAGAGTGAAACCCATTTTCAGCTCATATTTATTGTCACAGATTTATTAAAATGATTTGGAGTTTCTTTGCTCATGTCCAGGACTCGTTACAGCAGAACTTACTTTAACCAAGCTGCAAAATATGTTGAGAAATGTTCTCAGGGTATTGTGTATAGGTCATTGTTGAGTCTTTTTGTTTCATGCCATTTGTATTTTGTGTTGCGTCGTTTCCTCACCCTGAATCTGGACGACTCTCTGCAGGGAGCGGGCTGCGTTTTCACAAGGCTTCTGGTCCAACACGGACTGGGACAGAGGCTCCACCTGAGACACATCACAGAGATTAGAGCAGGGGACAGAGACATGGACACTGCCTGAAAACAGACAACACCTCACCTCCATGCCCAGCAAGGCGCTGACACAAGCTTCAGAGGCATCGCAGATGGCTTTGAGGTCATGCCCCCCCTCCAGAGCGAGGACTACCCGGCCCCCGGCGAGTGACATCAACTGACGAGTCAAGAAGCCAAAACCTGGTCAAAAACAAACAAACACGTAAATACAAACAGAGCTAAAAGCAGCAGCCTCAGACACAAGATGACCAGTTATTGTCCTCCTGTCTGTGATAAAGAGACATCATGTCATCAATTAGAAATCAACACTTCTATAAGTAAACAACCATGAACAAATAAATTAAGTAAGCAATTATTAGTAACTCTAAATAGCTATGTTTGCATATGTAAAATTCTTTGATTGGATTGAATTATTCAGATTAAATAATCCTAATGTATCGTTTACATGGACACAATCTGATCATGGCGAGCATTTACATGCAGCGGGCTTTTATTCTGAACAGAAGTACTGACATGCACAGAGCGGTAAACTCTCCTTAAAAAAACACAGAAGAAGAAGTTCTAATTCCGGGATGAACGTAAACAAACCTGAGCGCCCAAAATGGACCCGCGCCAGGTTTTAATGACGGTGGAGACGTTACTGCACTCCCTGACAGAGCTACAGGTGATACAGATCATTTTGAGCTCTTTCAAAGTTTCTGGTAGAAATGTGTCGCTCACTGACTAGTTTTACTTCCCCGACATATTAGCATTAGCCAGGCGGAAATACGTGAGGTTGAGAGGTTGCACATGCGCAGCCAGGTCAGTTTCAAATACAAATTCATTCGGATTGAGCTGAATGAACAAAGAATAATCCAAATGGGGCGTTTACATGACACATTTTTATTTTGAATGGCCGTTTAATCTGATTACTCATGTCCAGGGCTTAATTTGTAAACCAACTGATGCAGGAACACAAATAGCAGGCGGTCCGGTGGGTGGGGGTTCCATGGTTCCTCCCCCGGAAAATTTGTAATAAAAAGAGATGCCATTTCCTGCATTTTGGTGTATTTTAACAGGTTGTTAAAACATCTGTAAACATTTAATTTAAATGATTAAAAACAGGTCTCTCTTGTAAACGACGAGGCTCAATGAGACGAACAACCTGTATAAATAAAGGTTGGATTGAAATTACTATTTTAGAGAGCAGTGAATAGAGCAGCTCCGATTCTGTCAAGCGTCCTACCCCCCCCCCCCCAACACACACACAAACTTCAATGTCCGACCTGAACTCTTCTCAGCTGAATTCAGTCCTGCGTGTTGTTCTAATTCAGTCTCTATCACCACTTCCTTCAGGTGCTTCAGTTCTCTGTTGTCTAGCTAAGGACGATCATCCATCCATTTATTTTAGATAATAAGTTGGACTGGCTTTTCAACATTTTGATCCTGTTATTTTGACTAAGTTTGAAACGTGATAATATGAATAATACACATCAAACATTTCACTCATTTTTTTCTATAAGCTTTTTTATTTATTATCTTTGAAATGTACGCAGGAGTTCTGACACATTGGCAAGTTGTGCGCGCTCTGCAGAGCTGTCTGGAGACGCTCCTGTGTATAAAACGTGCACTGTCTGCAGGGCGCACAGCTGAGCAGGTGAAGCTGACACCCCACTCACGTCAAAAATTCCAGTAAATACAATGAGTGGTTTGTGCTGGTTTGTGCTGTTAAAATGTTCATTTGTGCTGCTTTGGTTTCTGAGACACAGCTGAAGGTGAATGAAGACACCTCATCTCTGTGGGACATGCGGTCAGCGTCTCTGCTGGGCAGGAGCGTGTGCACGAGCTGGTGCACCTGCTGAAGCAGTAACATCTACACCACAGAACATGGACAGCGTCTTCTCTCATATTTTTAATAAATAATCAAAATAAAAATGTGCGATGACTTTGGACTTTATGGGCGGAGAGATGAGCTGCTGGATCCGAGCGAACAGTTGCCGGAACAAACACGGTGAAAATGAGGGAGTTCCTGGATCTTGTTCCGGCAGGATCCGGCTCAAATTAACCACTGACTATGTCCATGTAAACATAGCTCGTTACTTTTGGTAGTAGGTGCTTGTTAGTGAGAACGCAGCTGAGTCTTACACTTGGCTGTGACCTTGTATCCTCCCAATGTAGATGGATGTCCTTCAACAGCGTCAAAACCAGCCGACACCAGCACCACGTCGGGGGAAAACTCATGGGCGATGGGCATCACCACGGCTCTGAGGACAAAAAGAGGAAAACCAGAGCTGTAAACCCCAAACTACTGGAAGATGGGCGCTACTGATTCATCCCTGACATCTGACGGAAACTTGAAAACCCAAATGAGGAGTTCTGTTTTCAGCAGGTGATCATGAGCTGTAAGAAAATGAGAAATCTCAAGCGTGAATAAAATTGAATGTGAAAAAGGAAGTCACAATGTGACAGAGAATGAAAAAGCAGATTTACTGTAACAATCAGAATTTAGCTGCCAACTATAAAAACAGAACCAGTGATTGATTTTCAGCAGAAACATTCATCCATGGTAGGACTTTTCTGGATTGTTAACTGCTAACGTTTACTGGATGGTGCGTTCCTTTTTTTAAAATGATGAAAAGAGAAATTATCAAAGGCTACGCTCCAAGTGCTTGATCTCAGTTCTTGATCCACTCTTGGTAGGCAGCCAACACCAGGAGGTGGAGCACCTCCCAGGTGTGAATGTGTGCAACTGTTTAAATGTGAAGCAGAACTCCACTGATAAAAGAAATAAATCCTTTTGAAAACTTTTTAAGAATAATTTTTATGCGTTTCCAGTATGATTGGAAAAAAAAAAAAAAGAGAGTAAACTTAAAGCAGGTGCTTCCACTACATAACATTTTTGGGAGTGACGTAAACAAATGTTTTGAGTGAGATGTCCTCATGTCGTGTACTCTGGTCAGCGGTGACCACTTTTCCTGCTTCTTTACATCTTACTTCCTCTCGTCTCCTGCTGCCAGTTATTTAGCAAGAGAGCACAGTCCATGCTGCATTTGGTTCTCTCTCACTCTTTTTCTCTCTCAGCGGCAGTTCAAAGGCATTTGTGTGCGTCTGGTTCCTATTAGGAGCTCGTCCCTCTTCTCACGTCACTGACAGCCAGCCATCTGGGATCCATTGGGCCTAATTACGCCGCCTTTGGATTCCCTAACAATGCACCCCCTACTTCTTCTCCTCTTTTCTGCTCTGTTCTCTTTCCTCCATAGCTCATTGTTTGTCAGTAGTAGCACAAGAAGGCATGAGCGCTCACATACCTGCGCGTGTACTGCGCTACCTGTGACGCACCTGAGATCCTCCACGTGTACAGACGGCGTCATGACACTGAATCTCAGCACAGCCGTGCTCCGTTTTTTGAATGTAATGGAGTCCCCGCAACACTATCAACCACAATCTTTCTCCTGTCACTAAAACACACCCAAAAACAGACGCTCACCATCAACAGCCACGTTGTGTTCCAGCCGGAGACACATACATGCAGCTATTCCAATTATAACTTGAAATTGAATTAGAGCGTTGGCACTCGGTCCGACAGGTTTAACTGCACAAACATGAAGTTATGATGCCTTCTTTTCTACTTACAGTCTGCTGTTAACTTTGTGACACCAATAAAACAGAAAATAGTGGCAGATCTGACTGGGACATCATTCAAACATAATGCATTCTTAGTAATAATAATACAGTATACATATATATTTAATATTAATGTGTTCTTCTAAGCTTAAATGAGGTATACTGCTTCTCTTATGATCACACGTGACATAGATTTTTGCCTGCCATCCAGGACATCACAGCTGCACAGTGTGCCACAAACCACTGGGCCACCAGGATGTTCTTCCTCGTATGATGCAAGTTTCACACGCAGCACACAATATGATACAGTACTGCACACGGAGGAAGTTTTACACATGAAAACACTTGCAATTTCCTAAACTAAATGAAAAATACTAAAACCAGACGCCTGCTCAGGAAAAGACCAGTTGTTTCTTAATTATCATCCAGAGCTGCAGTAAACATTGGATTTAGTGTTTCTGAGTCTGCCTACTGGGTCAATGGATTTTACCAGAATGGGTTAGCTCATTAGCATCTTTCCTCTGATGAGGGGGCCACCCACCGTGTCTGCTGTAAGCACCGTGAAGAGCTCACATAGCGTTTTATTCATCTGGTGGCGAGCCTGTGCTGCTGACAGACACATTCTGTGTTTGTTACGGTGCAGCGCAGAACCAAACCGCATCCATTCAGGATTGAACGAAATGAAAAGTGGGCAGAGAGCAAAGGTGTGCTTTGGTATCACGCAGCTGTGTGGCTCTGTATTTAACTCAACAATGAGGTATTGTGAATGTGTAATTACTGATATAATTTCAAAAGCCACATTAATGTTGCTGCTCTTTCAAATCACTAACACCCTGGCTGCAGTCCAACACATGCAAGAGTGATAATGGGATTTAAACTGATTTCGCTTTGACCACAGGGGGTACTGGATGGCAAAAGTATTAATGCACACTCCTGAGGTGCTTGTACAGAGACGGTGTTTCATAATAGTTTGGAAAACCACCAACATATAGGAGGAGGAGGTATTCATGTTTTAAATACATATGCAATGTATTGCATATGTATTTAAAACATATGCAGATATATCTCCTCTGTTCTTCACACTAGAAATCACGAACCAGAAACGGACACATTAATTTAATTTTTTTGTAAAATAGGTTTTTCTTAAGCATTAAGCCTCTCCTTGGTAATTTGCTTTACACCACAGTAGTAAAACAGAGTAACTATATACAGTATTTGCTTTATCTACGACATTATATTAAACCATAGGTTGTAAGTAGATCACATTTGCAGCTTGAAAACTGTTGAAACACTTGGACAGACCATTTCTTTTATACTTCAAAGGAAACTAATAATGAAAAACAAAGTAAACTATAGTAAACTATCCAAACAGATACTAAAACATAACCCGGGTGCTTCTGTGAAATAAAAGTAGAAATTAGATTGATCTGAATGGATTTTCAAAAGATGCTGGGATCTTTAAATTTCAGCATTACCTGATCAAGATGTTGAAGTGTTATCAATAAACAGTTCTTTTTAATCACTGTGATTTCTCTTTCAGCCAAACCTCTAAGCTTTATTCATAATTTCAGACTGATATTAAATAATTTGTTTATAAGAATAAGACAGAGAATAAAAAGGTGATTTATTATTTCATTTAGTGATGTTTGAGTATGTTGACAATATCTAAAAATAAAATAATTTTTGGATCAGCTTCTTTTTTCAAAAGATTTTGTAATTTGTGTGTATCTAAAAGCAAGTCAAGGTGGGGAAATTTTAAATAAAGAGCGATTTATAATGAAAGTAGAGCCATGAATTCATTTCACTAGTTGTTACTACTTAAGAGTCTGTGCCACGAGGAGGAAAGCGTTTCCAAAATAACTTCAGCATCATGCTAGTGTCCCTGTGCTGACAGAAATATTGTATTGCTAGTAGAGTAAGGCTGAATTGTTTACCTGAATGCAGCCAAGTATTCTGCATCGCCCATTGGAGGATTCAACCCTCCAGTCCACGCAACATTCACATTGAAGCCCTTGCCTGCACCTGTGCCCACCTAGATGAAGAAAGACCAGGGAGACAGAGTGAGTCTTGCAAGAGAGAAAGTCTTTGTAAAAGTCAACATAGTTAATGAATCCCAAGTGAGTTGAGAAACAGCATGCCGATGAAAAATTTGTGTCAAACGTTCACAAAACCAGCACCGCTGTTGCAAAATGTTGCGTTGCAGCAACACAAGATAGTGGCTGCATCTCTTTAAGGCAACACCAGGGAGTGATTATGATTTCTAAACTGAATACAAATGGCTGTTAATTCAACACCCCTGTTTATACATTTTGTTTTCTATACAATTTTTCAAATGGCCTTATAAATCATTGAGCCACAAAAGAGTTGCAACCGTTTATAGTTCCCAAGCTTTAGGCTACAATTTATAAAGAAAAGAGTCTAAATATATAATAGAAGAATGACAGTAAACTTTTGAAGTTAATTTTTATACCCAAAATATATACAGATATGTTTAAAATTTTCACATTTCAAATAAATGTTCAACATATTATATCTGGTGTATTTAAAATATTGACCAAAACATGATATCTGTTGCACAGAACTCATCGTACAAGTTTAAAATGAGATATTAAAACGCCAATGTGGCGTGGATGAAGCTCCTCTCAGGTTGACCTCACATATTCAGGGCAGAGAGTGAACTGAGGCCTGGGTCCTGGAAAGAAGTTAAGGATTCTTGTCTCTCTTTGTAGTCCTGCGAGCAGCCATTTAACTGCTCCCCAAACCCTTCACCATCAGTCAATATGTCAGTTTGAAGGGAGATCGAGGAGGTTGATTGACACCCTCTTGGCAACAATGTGTGGTAATTTCCTTTGTGTGCGTGTGCGTGTGTATGGGTGTGAGAGGATGCTTAAAAGAGAAAGAATGCTGATGAGCACCGTACAGCGTCTGTCTCCATTCTTCTCTCAGCGGACGGGATGTTCACAGGGCAAATGAAAAACACATGAGGCCCCCTGTTCTCTGCCAACTGGTAATGTACCCACACGCATGCGCACGTGCACATGGACACACACAGAAACACACAAAAACACCCAGAGGCGTGCACACACAAACATATTTCTGCTATAGCTCTGAAATTCTCAGTCCTTTGTCCTTTCTTTCATGTTTCAAGAGTTACTGGCCTGGATTAGGCCTTCGCTGCGTTCTGTGAAGTACTCTGCACTCTCTGTGATATGACGTACACCCCTACCCCCTGGTGAGATATATACCTACATGAGGGACAGCAAGACTCCAGAGGTTCACCACACTACTCGACAAAGGCTGAGAGTCCACTTCAGGCAAAGCCACATCCAAGTCAGCAGAGCATTTTAAGAACCGTTCCTCATCAGGGGCTTTTATGGGAAAACACTGACTATTATTGTCGGGGAGGAGGGAATGTGGGGGATTAAATGGGTGGTGAATGCTAGTGTGAGATGGGGTCAGTTCATCTGACTAGGGATAATGATCACACTTAGTTTCTGGTAAACCCACAGGAAGAATGCACAAGCAATTTAATTTTTTGTATTCAAACAGGAATCCAATACAACTGTACACATCCTGTTGCAAAGAACTGACATCCGAAGACCCAAAGGGTCGCAGATAAATAAGAAAAAGCAAACGTGTTGTATCCCTCCAACAAAAAGAAATAATGAAATGTCCTCATGGTAAGTTCACCAGATAAACATGTTTGAAGCATTTGAATTTTTTGCCTTGAATACGTTATCGTGCAACTTGAGATAAAGCAAGAGCTGCACTGTGTAAGTTACCAAGACAATACTTTAAACTATTCATGCTGAACTGGAATACACCACAGCTACAACAGAAACAACTCAAATAAAATATTTCAGACACTTTATATTCGGATTTATTCACAGGAGAATCAGATTTTAACTGCAAAAACTAAAATGGTACACCTAATAGCAACAGCTCCAACAAGTGACAAGACATACTGCTATAAATCTCATCTGCACAAACCTGCTGTATTCTTTATGGTGAAGTACAAACTGCAAACATTTTAATTAATTATCAGGACCATGCTTGGATCAGAACTGCAGATTTATATCAGTTAGATTTATCATTGATAGATTTCAACTATTATTTTAGTTATGACAAGCTTATGGTAAATACAGGTCCCAACTGGCATCAAACAATTACCAAATACAATCAAGTTACATGCTATGATATAAATATTTTTGGCAGGTTTTGAGAGTTAACAGCTACATCAATCATTCTCCATTGAAAATTATGAAACAAAACTGACTGGTGTACTGCTGACAAACCTCATTGGGATGTCCACTACCAGGAAAAAAGTTCCCGTCGTCAAAGCGATGCAGGGAGATGTACAGCACGTTTGGGTCGTCGTAAAACGCCTCCTGGGTGCCATTACCATGGTGCACATCCTGGACAGCAGGTTGGTGACAAGTTAAGACATTAAGAATGGCTGCAGGTATTTATCAATTAATGCATTATTGATAAAAATAATTATTATTCAAACGTTTGTTAAAACCAATGAAGTTGGCAAAAAGATAACTACTTTACAACCTGAAATGCAGTAAACAGACGTTCACAACTTTTTGCTGTTAGTGACAAATGCATTTATTTTACCTTTGTTTTCTTAATATTCTTTATAATAAAAAGCATTTGATACAGAAATATACCAGAGTATACTTTGAGTAAAAACACAGTGAGGAGTCATAAACACACATGTTGAGCAGAGAAAACCAACTGGCTGTGGATCAATATGTGCACATGTTGGTGAGCTTTCATGTGACTATGTGATTTAGAGTCTACTCTAAGCAAATGTGACACTTCAGCTCACACGTGTATAACAGAAATAGCTGTCTAAATAATCAAAATATTTCAGAGTGCTACTGTACGTCTGGGTCCTTGTTTGTACCACCTACACATCTGTATGCCTGTACGTTTGTCCATGATAGTGGCCATGCTGTGGCTCCTTACCCAGTCTACAATCAGGATCTTGCTGACGTTGAGCTTATGTTGGAGCTGCTTGGCTGCGATGGCCACAGAGTTGAAGTAACAGAAGCCCCTGTGGACAAACAGACAGGAAGAGTGGTGGCCACATGTGTTTATCTGAACATCTTCAGCAAATTAATATCACAGCATCACCATATGGAGCTTAGGAGCCACTCAGACAGTTTTTTGGCTTTGTGTGGTGGCTCGTCAGGTTGTGACAGCCATCAAACTCAGACTTGCCACATTAACAGTTACTGTACAGCAAATATTTCAGAAACAGGCATGTTTTAAGTTGTTGCCGATAAACACAATTTGTTTCTGACGCTACAACAAAAACAACGATTAATTTTAAAACCTTGCACTGTAGAGAAAAGCAGAATCCACAAATCTTGCAACAAATGAAAGACAAATCTTGTCATGAAGTTCAATCCAAATTCCAAATGATACCAGTCAGAAAGCTGGCACAACGTGAGGGATGGTTTTCAAGAAATGAACTCTGAACTTGGCGCGAGAGTTCCTTTCACACTCTCTGTCTACAACAAAAGGTATGCAGAAAAAGTGTTGATGCATAAAAAACAATGAAGGAATGCTGGAAAAGGCAGTGTCAGCATGGGCTGTAAAGTGTGAGTGCCTGTGTGTGTGTGTGTGTGTGTGTGTGTGTGTGTGTGCAAGCAAACAATGCACATTATACGCTGTCCAAACTTTGCTCATCAATAAAAGTCATTATCATCTTATAAATAACCAGTGACAGGCACTGCTGAGCACGCGTGCACACACACACACGCGCGCACGCACACACACACACACACACACACACACACACACACACGAGTCCCAGCTGAATGTGGTTACTTGGCTAATGCCTGCTATCAAAGACTCACACGAATCAATGCACACAAATTTGCACATCCACACACTGTGCATGAGTGGAGTGTATGCACACATGCACAGCGCTTTAGAGGTGCTTTGCTCCGTGTTTTTAAAACTTAAAAGAAACAGCAAAGGAGGTAGACTGCCTCGAGCATCGGGCAGGTAGTCGGACACACAAAGGCGTTAACATGGAGAGACTCCTTTACTCTTTCCCCCAATGTAAAGCTGATTTGTAATAAACCCTTTAAAGCACTTATGATGCCCCCCTTGGCTTTTGGTATCGTTCATGTGTATACATGTGTGTGTAGGCTTCTGTACTTACAGGGGGGATGAACGGGTTGCATGGTGTCCAGGGGGCCTCACCACTGCAAAGCCATTCTGTGAGAGGACAGAAAAATAGAAGCTTTAATACTTTCTGTATGTGTAATACCACACCCCTAAACTTAAAAACATTTTTCATCATGCCGTTTCCGATTATACTAAACCTTGTACACAACTGGGGAGCTGTAACAGTATAGCTGATCTTACAATGTTTACTCCTCATCTAGTAGCACTACAGCTTTAAAACTCGACTCAACAAAGACTCACCTTCAGCTCTCTCTGTGCCACCTTCAGTGCCAGGTCAGTGACACAACCTGCAGCAATCTGGGATGCGACGGCTGTGTGTTGATCATTCCAAACTGTATCAACGTCTACCTGTCAGCAAAACAATAACTCATCAGAATTTAAACAAACAAGCAGGTAAAACATAATTTTATTTCAATTACGGAGATGATGTTGGACTTAAAAACAACCCAAAACTTTAAATTAAACTGCTGGTCAATAAATTAACTTTCATATGCAGTTCTGCCTTAATTCACCTGAACATGCTTGTACAAAACAGAGTTAATTAATAACCCTAAACCCATAACATATGTAGAGCTTATATGGATATTTTTTCTTGCTCACTGACTTTACTTACGTGCATATTTTTTTCTGTCACACCCAGCTTGTGTTTTAATGTTGCTCCACATTTTAAAACTTGTTGGCATGTTGCTGTACTGCTGGAGAACAATGAAAAAGAAGATTTTTTCTTCTTTTTTTCCACAAACTTTGCCATCTTGTTCCAATCATCCCTCTTCACTAGAATAGCCAAAGGCCGGAAATCCAGGCACATCAGTCCTCTTATCAACTGCCACCCAGCCCCCTTCAGATTTTCCACCTCTCCTCTGCATTTATTATCATTTCTCTTCTTACACATCCTCATTCTGATGCAATGGCCATCAAAGCTGGAACATTTTTTCCCATTTTTTGTTCCAAATCTTACCTTTGCACAGACTTTGAATTTTGAGTTTTCAAAGATATCTTAGCCAAAAACAATAGGATCAGTAATTTGTAGCATCATTACCTAAATTGTGTAATGAGGCATAATCAGCCATGTAATGTTTGCTGTTCAGTAATGCAATTAGATAAGTGGAAAAATTCCCACATGACTTGAGTTTTTAAAATGGCTCTGTAATGTGCGTGCGTGTGTGTATATACACATGTGCAGCACTTACCCCAACACCTCCACATGGTAACTCTACAAAAATGCGATGTCCTGCATGGAGAAGTTCATTGAATTCAATAAGCGTAATAATATACAAGATCAACTGCTATTTTAAATGTTTCATAAGAGAACTGCCACTGATCTCACCGGCAAGCCTGCGGTTGTCCAGCTTGTTGCCAAACATTAGCACATGGTTTTCTGAATGGACTGACTGCAACTCTTCACGGGTGGCCTTTCTGCTGCGGATCCACTGCAACACACAATTGTATTAATTTAATATGTTTGGTGGCTCTTCCTTTTGCAATCTATCGTGGTGGGTGCATCATACCTCACAGTGGCTCCTCAGCCCTCTCTCTTGCAGTCTGGACCAGATGCTTTGTATCCTTCCTGCATGTTCAGGGTGGCGGCTGTTTTCTCCACAGCTACACTGGTGCTTCAGCATCTGAGCGTCATAAACTAAACCTGCACACACACAAACATACATACATGTAGAACTGACCAGATGTTGCATGCCACAATAGTCCTGCAAGAAACTGGTTTATTTGTCGTTTCTAATCAAAAGCATTTGGTTCACCTGTTGTGAAACGTAGTTTGGCGTCTGAAGCAGGGCTGGACAGTGACAGAGAAGGTATGCTTGCAGGAGGCAGGGAGGTGGAGGATGGTAATGACCGGGTCCGAATCACACGCTGGTGAGACTGGTGGGACCAGTGTAAAATAGGGACACCCAGTGCATCTGTCTGGAGACCTGATCTAAGGATCACCTGCCTCTGTGTTTTTACAGTGTGAAGAGAACAGACAGTGAATAAATGATGGAAGTATTTAACATCAGCTGCACATGAGAGAGAGCACTTGACCTAAACTTTCAAACACTAAATGTGGTTGTCCAACTTGTTATATGACCATTTCATTTTCCTCATCTCAAACAAGCAACCAATAAGAACAGTTGACATTGCCAAGTGTGCTGCAAAAAGCATTACTCTAACGTGGTCATGGTCTGGTATAAATGAAGCATCAGTGCCTCCTGATGGCACTCGGGCGTACTTCAATCAAGTCAATCTCCAAAAGAATGCAAATTGTATTTTGTTTTAACGAACATGACTTCAAGGGATAAATGACATAAACCAGATGAGTTGTTAATTTATTTGTCAGCGTGCTGCAATGATAAACAATTATGTTTTTTAATCCAGTCAAGCTTTTTGTTACTCTTGTTTGCTGTTGACCATGACTTGATATTAGTACCTGATTAAGAGGAAGTGAAGTCTCGATTAAGCTGTCCCGGGAGGAGGCGTTTGACTCTGTGCCATAAAATGAGTCTGTGCTGGCGTTGCTTTGTCTCCTGCTATGGTTGTCCTCACACAGTGAGCCAAGTTCTGAGCCGCACAGAGACCCTGTTCCCGATCCTGATACTGATCCAGTCTCCTCCAGGTCCATGTCCTCTGATGGGATCTGTGTCAGACGCGGCTTCTCAATGGTTTTGATATTCAGCTATTTTAAAGTAGAAGTTTTACACTGTTCAATTTTTTAAGTTAAATAAAAAAACACTCTTTGAATTTTTGGGCAAACAGATAAATATCACACTGATCAAAAATTCTTATTTTTTATGTTAAAGTAAATAATTTTTAGAAAGGAAATCCCATCAACTCACGTCAATTAAATAACTGCTTAATTAAACATTCTTGTGTTCCCACCCACCACATCTTACCTTGCTCAGGTGTGAATTCAGCTTGGATCTTTCTAGTCCGCTCCTGGGGAATTGTGAGGGAAGATGGTACGGGGAGTTTAGATGGTGGCTTGTATGCAGACGCAGGACCGAATGGTTGTACGGTAATGGCTCTGAGTGTGTTCGCTCAACAGGTGGGTGAGAGGGTAAGGCCACTAAACATTCTCTCCTGGAGGGGGAGGACAGGCGAGGATGCTGCTGAGGAATGGAACTCAAACCCTGAACTGCAGACAGAGAGAAGAGGTGGTTCAGAAAAAGGTTAAAAATTGAATTATTAAACAAATAAAAAAGCGAGAAAAATAACAAAATAATGGTAGCTTCTAGAGAAACAGAAAAGGGAATAAAATATGTAAAAGAGTATGAACTTTGGCAGAAAATGTCTTTTTTAAGACTGCATTATTGCTCCCTGCTCAGTAGAGAGCGCTCTTGTGCTATTTATGATACAAAAAACACAAGCCAGGATGGTCAGCTTTACTGAATCCTTTGATTTAAAATGACACTTTTCCTTGCATGCATTTTGAGTTGTCTTAAAAAAGCAGAAAATCTTTTATTTTACACATGCACATGAGTTACTGAATATCTCAGAAAGCCTGATCATTTATCACATCTGGTAACAGCTGTGAAATGTAAATATTTTGAGGCAAACCCATAGCAAAAACATACAACCATTTGTTAATGCCTCACACAAACATGTATATTAACTATGAAAAACACTGTCTTGTGTGTAAAAGGTACAGCAGTATAAAAGACAAAATTGACCCACAACTATAATTTTTGGTACCACAACACCTAGAATAGCCAATATCTAACTCATTTAACCAAAACTGATACACACAATCAGTATACTTCTTCAAAGCAATATTTAAAACTCTGTATTTCATAAATATGTCTACTATTCAACACCTTTTAGCAACAGTAACCACCAAACAAAATGCTAACTGATTACAGCTAATGAGAATCAATAACAATTCTCAGTGATGACAGAACCCCTTGACAATTGTCCCTTTGTGCAAAATACAATTTGCCGTGTTTGTATTTAACTGATATATTTAAAAATAACATCCTAAGTAGTCAAAGTCTTGGACTATACAGTAAAATTGTTCAAATATTGCTAATTATGTCTTATTTTTTATGCCTATTATTTAATTATCAATTCCATTTATATGTTTTGTGTGGTAATTTTCTGTCTCTTGCTAAAACTTACCTGCAAATTCAGATGAAATAAACAAAACTAGTCAAAGCCAGTCAAAGATTTATTAGCTGAGGCAAAAAAAAAAACTAAACTTGAATGGGGTCCAAAATATTCATAATCATAAAGGTACCTCAAATTATTGGCAAACTTCCAATGAATTAAAAAAAAAAACATTACCTAATTATCACTTGTGAATACTGAAAGTATGGGAACAACTCATAGCAGCTGAAGTGAGGACTGATAGAATAAGATGACTCAAATGTCATCATACTTTCACTTGCTTGTGCTTGCTTTGTTCTTTTTATGTGTATACTGAGGTTTCACTAACAAGGCAACTCACAAGGAACAAACTTGGAGGGCAGCAGTCCTGTGGACGGTTCCATTAGGAGCAGTGGATGCAGGCGCTGAGGTAAAGATAAACCGCTTCCCTCCACAGGCAGGTAGACAGACTGCAGAGCGGATACGGTCGCAGGCTTTGCCATGCGCAGGTCAGCCTGGTTTGAGAGACGTGAACAACAAGTGAGAAGATATGAAAAGAAATGCCGGAGATGAGGAGCACTGGGACGTTCTCATCATCACGGAATAGTTAAAGTGCAGGTTAAGAATTTAATGTTCTGGCAGACTACTCGACAGAAGTACACTGTGACTAAAAAGATCAAGAGGGAAGTGAAAGCCTGTAAACACCCCGTGCCTCTATATATGTTCAAGCGTGCAGAAAATATTTAAAACACTAGTTTTAAATAAATATAACCTCGTAAAATAGGCATTTAATTATGTGAGCTAGATCTTTAAAAATTGATGTACAATAACGGATTTAGAAATCAATTTGTTGCTTTCCTGTGATATTTGAAAAGCTTTCAAAGTAATTCTGAAACAACTGTATTGTTGCTCACCTGTGCAGGAAGTCCAGCCGTGATGTTGTGCACTGCAGTGGGGTTGTTGGTCCAGGCAAAGTGTGTTAAACTACCATTCTTCAACAGCAACCTCTTAGATTGAATAAGCAGAAGTCATAATTAATAAAACTACTTGGGACATATTCAAACTTACAGTAAAAACTGCTGGGAGGGTGTAACAACTCTCTGTCAAGTATTCAGTTGTAAAGAATGTAAACCCTAATTTGTGCTACTGTTACATGGACACTGAGCTGCTACAACTGAGACATAATAACGAGGTTCACCTCAGCAGTGAGAGAAAGGGAGCCGTTATCTGAAATGAGGCTGTCATTTGGTGAACTACACCCTGATGCTGAGGCGCTGCTGCATGGAGAAGAGTCTGAATGAAGAAATGGAGAAATACCATTCACTATCATTCACAATGAAACATTTACGTTAACAAAAATGGAAATATGTTGATTAAAATTCTCTAGAAAACGCACATAAGCCTTTGGTTTAAAGTAACATAAAAGTGCTGTAATAAACTAACCACAACCGGTAATCTAGGTATTCATACCCAGAGTTTCTGTTCGGTGCTTGACATCAGGAGGGGCACTGATCTTTCGTTGCAGTGGGTTAGGCCTCATGGTGATAATTTTCCTCAACTTCAACTTCAGTGTGGGCTCGGAGACTGCACAAATACAAGAAATGAAGAGTGCGTGAATGCAGTTTCCATAACAAAAGCAAGTTAAAGTGAACCATGAAAATACTTTCATCGTGGTGCGTGCTTACAATCCTCCGTTTACATTGGTCAGTTTCCAAAGAATCCAAACAACGTAATCAATCAGTGGCAGGCTCTGAGCAGATAAAAGCTGTATTTGTGTTGTCGCCATGCCAACTCAAGCACCTCAGGGTGTCTGTGTGTGCATGTTAAAAACAGTTTTAGGGCAACGCAAATAAATAATTGGTAGGTGTACTTGCAGAAACGTAGAGAAGAAGAACCACTCCCACTTTATTTCATAGAGTAAGGAAGAAGTGCTTTGGTCTCTCACACAGTTCATTTTACACATACCTTAGTTAAAGTTACATAACTGCCTTGGTCTTTGTGTCTTTCTCTTCCCTATGTTTTTTATGACCATTCAGGACTCTCTGGCCCTGCAGGCCTGCTATTCAACAAGTCTAACTTATGTATAATGCATCAGATGGAAAATCACCAGTGCCTTGGACAGTTCAGACCTAAGAACATTACCCTCGATCGTACGGACAAACAGGAGTCTCACCTGTTCTTCGCAGGGCGAGGTCTTTGCGTTGGTCACAGGGTGTAGGTTGAGGCTTTGGGGAAATGTCAGGATCTGGTAGCCTTGGTAACCAAAACAATCATAGACACACTGCTTCAGTCATGACTTCGTATAAAGGTAGCGGCCCTTTCACTTTGTAAAAATTTGAATTAGGTTTTTCTCAATGTAGTCAAGGCAGAGGGGCATCACACGATCCATCATTCCAATTTGCTTGGAACACACACGCACAATTTTGCAGAGGATGTGTCAAATTTGTAGCTCCCACAGTCAATTTTCTGTTGTGAAAAACCAAAGATGTCCCTCTCACCTGTATCCTGGAGGAGTACTACAGTGGTTTGGGGTAATCCTGTCATGGGGGGGCTGGTTCTTCATTATGATATGTTCTCGAAGTTTCTGCCTTACAAGTGGACTGGCAACAGCACCTGCCGGGGAGTTAAAGATGTCCATGTCACGTGCTTGATAATAAAATGTTTAAATAGTGAATTCAGTTGTTTTTTTTAAAACTTTTTTTCAAGTAAATGTCACTTTAGATCACAAAGTACTAGAGAATTTGCAAAGGTGGGAACTGGGAAGTCGGTGTCTTCCCTTGTATGCTTTGAGCGATTTGATTGTAAATTTCTTAGCAGTACTGATGGAAATCCCCTTCATTTTTATTGAAACACACACTACAGTGTGTGATGATTCAGATAAGGAATCTGTCTGGAGCCTCACAGAACTTATGAAAACACATGACGGTATGAAGAAATGCAAAAGATGAGACTCACTCTGTTCATTTTTACTCTTTTGTATCAGCTGCTGCAGCTCTTCTCTCTTCTCCTCCTCCATTTCTCTTTGCCTTTGTTCAGTGTTATACTGAAATAGAACAAAATGAAGAAACAGCAGTGCTGACTTATTTACTTAGTGTGGCTTAAACACACAAAAAGAGACAAACTCTCTATTGTCAGTGTTTGACAAGAATATGTTTGTATGCCAACTAATGCTGTATAGCACGCAAATCAGAAATGCCAAGAAACTGGACTGGTACCAGCAACTGGACCTGCTTTTTATATATACCTGGGTACAGCTTGTGGTGCAAGCAGCTGGCTTCTTCATGCGTTTGAAACGGAACACCTTTCTGGGCTATACTTAGTGTTTCTGGTACAAATAAAATGATGTAGCGATGCCTGAACATCAACATTGTATTATCCCACACCACCAAAAGGGAAAGGGGAAAAATAAGTTTTTGATTTGTTTTTGTTTTGTCTACATGTTTGTGTGTCTGCCTGATACCAAATTGTTTTATGAACCACCGGACAAATTTCATTAAATTTTGCAGTAAGTAATCATTTGATGTACATCTACAACTAATTACCACAAATCAGAATGGCTGCCACAGCCAACTGACCCTAAAAAACACAAAAATGGCTATAAAGCTGTCAGTTTTACAGATATTCACCTAAAATTTGGTGTGGTATTAAGTGAGACTGATCCCCAAAACATATCCTATGCTCTAATGGATTACACAAGATCTTGTTTCAAATTTAACTAAAACTATTTAGATTCAACTCTGTCTAGCTGTTAACAAATGACTGTTTTGTGAATTGTGGACTGAAATTTTATAGATGGATTTTTATAAAACATGCAGAAAATAATAATTAGATGCACCTCTACGACTTTGCAACTTTTGAAGCCAACTTAATTCAAGATGGCCACCACAGCCATCTCACCTTATAAAACACAAAATGGCTATAATTCAGTCAGTTTTACAGATGTTAGGCTAAAGTTGGTGTGGCAGTGGCTAAAATTCTTCCATCACATGCTCTGAGCTGATCCAAGATGATCTTCGTCCATGAAGGTGCTCAGTCTGCATTCCGTCAAGGAATGCTAGGCTGTTAATTTATTTTAAGTTTTCCTTTTAATATTTGAGCTATTAAACCACAGCCTGACAGTGTAATGTTATTTTTCCAGTACTTAGCCTCAAACTCATTCAGTCTATTCATCTAATGCCTCACTGTACAGTCAGAGTTGCTGCATCATTTTAATTTTCCACTGTAATACTGATGTGTACATTTGGCCTCACCTGCAAATGCTGCTGGGAAAATTGAGAGAACTGTTCAGTGGTGAGGTGTCCCAGGAAAAATGAAGGCTGGGGGGCCAACATGGCTGAATCTGGGCCTCGGTGTATCAACCTGTGTGTCACACTTAGGTCCATGGGCTCGCTCCAACGTGTCAGTAATAAACTCTGACTGCTGATGACCACATCCACTACAGGAAGAAACAGAAGAACACAGAAAATAAATTTGGGGGGTTTCCAGCCACACATATGCCTTTCTTGTCTGTTTTGTCTGTTGGTTCTATTATTACTGTTCAATAAGAACAATTGTGCAACGCCTAATTCTTAGCTCAGAACTGAAACTCTCCTGAGAGAATAGTTATCAGAAAGAAAGATGACTTAAAACATCAGACCATGAGCAGACTCAGATATACTTCATGCTGGATGTCTGCTTATATGCTGTATTCTTGGCTGGCATTTTTCTAACATTTAAGCCTTCTTGACTCAAGTGACAGGGCAGCACGGTGGCGCAACTGGTAGAGCTGCTGCCTCTCAGCGAGCAGGTCCTTGGTTCAAACCCCGGTCCAGGGGCCTTGCGACCCGTCCAGGGTGTACCCCGCCCCTCGCACAGTGATTGCTGGACATGGGCACCAGCGACCCCCGTGACCCAAAAATGGAATAAGCGGGTAAAAGATAATGGATGGATGGATGGACGGACTCAAGTGACAAAAAGAAAAAAAAAAACAGGTTTATCGAAAATAGCATCAAGAAAGCAAACAGGGTATTTTATGGATGTTGAGTTAATTGAGAAGTTATATATAAACATCAGGGTTTAGGCATTTTGGTCAAGTTCATCAATGCGTCAACACTCTTTTTAAAACTTCTTTTGCTTAAAACAAACAAAACAGAAACCAAAATTTGGTTGCAAGACAACAAAACTACGCTTTGCATGGATAGACATAAGGAAAATTTTCTAGCGACAACCTTGTCAAAATTTGGTTGACGGCCAAAGGTTTTGGTTGTCAACAACCATTAAAATGAAGAAGGCAAAAAAATCTTTGGAAATTTTCAATTTTTTAAGTATATTGCACTATATACAAATGTTCTCAGTCAGCCATCTTGTGGACTGCTTGGAATGTCCAAGCTCCAAAGTGGCAGACTCTTTCAGGAGCTGCTCGAGTGGAACTTCCTCATTTTCCTCCTCATCCTCTTCCTCATCAGACTGCAAGAGAGGCACTTTCAGCATATTTAAGGCAGGGATTAGAGCAAAAAAATAAAAATCTTCAGAATCTTCTGTATCAGTTTGTATCTTCCCCGGCTGCAGTGAATTGATCATGTGCCAGTGCATATGTTTAATACGTAGCCGTTTAATAATTACATGACATCACCTTCGGTTAGTGTAGTGGGGTGCCCTCCTTAGAAATAATACAGAAAAAACTGATTGGTGCTCTCATCTGCAGTGTGTCTCTGCTCTGGACTCATCGAGCATCAGAGAGCATGACCCGCCCTGCTCTGATTGGGCCAAACTGTGGCTCTGGTTCTCTTTATTTGTTGAAAGTTTAATCCCTGTATCTTGTATTAGATATTAGACTGGATGTTTTAAAAAGACAGCAACAACACACACACACACACACACACCTTTGTGCTTGCGCAGGATGAGAGAATATGACGGAGTGAAGATTCAATGAAATCTGCTGTTTACTTTAGATAGATAACTTTTACTAAGTGGCTTTCATAATGTATGCGAATGTTTTTGTACAGTGCCCTGAGACTTGGCGCTTTATAAATAAACTGAATTGAATTTGATTTAAATTACTGATGATGGAAATCCATTGTGGTGATGGAGAACTTTAATCCATGTATATTCCACTTGGTTATCAACTAGAAAACCTCAATGTGAAATCTGGTTGTCTGATATGAAAATAAGTTGTCTTGGACAAACGGAAACCTCTACTTTGGTGTTCTAACAAAAATACAAATGCCTTTTTATAGATGCAAAGGAGGACAAAAAAATTAACCCAGGCTTTGAAATACAAGCCTCTCGTTTCACTCGCGCCCGGCACAGTTTTAGCCTCACGTATGATCTACAAAAATTCAGATTTTTGAAAACAATAACTCACAAACAACAGAAAACTATTTCCATGTGACAGTGCAACAGACACCTGAAACCAAGAAACATAGAGGAATGTTTCGGTGTTGATATTAAAGCGAAGGACACACATAAGGATATGGAAGAAGACACCTTGTTCCCTCTGGGGTTGAGTGACAGCAAAAAGAAGGTGAGGGTGTGGAAATTCACTGAAACTATTGTTTGAATGACTGTGACCCAAAATGGTAGCATTACTCATATAATTCCTGCAGTTAAACCTTTTGTTTGAGGCAAAGCCCCATGAATTACATAAACTGCTGGGGATTGTTCTGTAGCACAGTAATAACACAGTGGTGACAACAAAGTCTTTATGAACTCAACACCTTCCATCTGTTCACTTGTTTGAGAAATTATCCATTTAACAAACACAATAGGCAGACTACATTATTAAAGTACATTAAAATATTCAAAATGCAGAAATCTGATTACATTTTTTTGCATTAAACATATTTTGCACTTTAAAAATCAGCAGCCCCAATGTTTAGTTCTACTTTCTGGCCATCAAAATGAAGGACAAGGTGAAGTGGTTGGACCCTGATTCTTAACAGGAAGACAGATTCAGCAAGAGAAACAAAAATGTGAATGCAATGTAAATTGACAGAATTTCTGTGAAATAAAACACACTTCCACAAACTTTTTTTTACTTGATTACATGAGAACTAAAAAAAAAAAAAAAAAAACATGGGTGGGGAAATGGTAAGAATAGAACAGTTTATATTTTCATTAATGGCTTTAATTCTGTCGTCCATTATAAAAGGTATAAATAGTACATTATTTGTTTACAGGGTTGATGCTGGGATTTCATGTTTACTTTTCCTTTGATTTCTCACACATTTTGTTATAAAAAAGATAGAAAGCACATGGGAATCTAAAACTCTTTTGCGAGTTTGCACAGTGCAGGATTCTTCTGCATCACTAGAAAATGACCTTGCCTTAGTCATGGAGGAGACAACCCTCTCAGACAGAAATAACTTGACCTGCTCCACTCTCAGCTAGGTCATGCCCAGGAGACTGTGCAGTATAATTCATATTTTTTAGTTGATGTGGTTTGTTTACTTGAGCATCAAATTTACTTTTTTATTCAGTGATGAAAAAAAAAATCACAAGGTGCAACAGGAAGACCCCAACTATAACGCAGAATGAATTACCAGAAGAATGATGGAGTGGTTTTAAAAGAAACCAGACAATCAAGAAGAGTGAGACAGTGGTATTGGGGGCTCAGATACAATAATCTAAACCACTTTTACACGCACGCACGCGCACACACACACGCGCACACACACACACACACACACACACACACACTCAGCAAACTAGCCTTCTACCCCAAGAGTACGGAAATAATCAGGAAGTCAGAAAAGAGACACCTGTGGTACATTTTTAGCCAGTAAGAGCCAATTTCATCTACTCAATTTCAGACGTGGGTTTACTTTAAACAATGTTAATATAAATACTCTTCCAATCAGATTATCGATCCTGTTTTCAGAAGTTGTGCAAATTGTGTAATGTAAAAATAGAAAACAAAACATTGGGTAAAATGATTTGTCAACCATTCAGAAACTTTCTTGTGAAGACAGAACAGGACAAAAGTTGCTTAATTTACAACTTTTTTGCAATTTTTCAAAGTAAAACTGAAAAAGTAATATTTTTTTCAACTCGGGGAAAAGATTAAGATTTGAAACCAACATTTTTGGCTGTAATCTCTGGGCAGCACTGCAATGAAAACAGAATTACTGTGGCAATCACTGCATTAGATGAGACATATCACTCCGGAAAACCACCTTCACTGGAGAGTTTGTTGATGCACCAACAAGTGCAAGATAAAATCTCACAATACAAATAAAAAATGAACAACGTCTAAACAAAGTTCAAGGCCCTAACTTTCCCATGGACATCAAACTGAACAATCTTCCCAAACAAACACCAAAGGTTCTATTTTAAGGCAGAGTTTCAGTGTGACTCATTACGTATGACTTGATAGAAAACCAGCTCGGTCACTGGATTACAGATTCAAAGAGCCAACTAAACTTTTTCTATGTTCACCCTGAGGGAGCTCAGCAGCTCATAATTACTTCCTATCAAATTACAAGTGTTCTTGAAGAGAATACAGATGTTAAAGACACATTTTGTTTCACTGCAAATAGAATTGTTTTAGCCACGTTTTCCCCCGCACACTGTTTGTTAACTAAACTCTAATAATACACAAATAAGGTAATTGGAGAAAACCAAATCTGGTACATTTTTAAAAGAAGAAGTACAAGCTGATAAGATCTACGTGCTCGCTTCTCTGGGTCTCTTGAGCGTTGTGGGCCTAAAAATAGAAGGAGGCAAACTTCTGGTTTTTGTAATAACATTTTTGTTTCACACCATCATCCTCTTTCTGTGGGCCCATTAAAGCAACAAACTGCAACACTGACACAAATGCAACAAAAACACATGCACAGACTTTAATGGCGTGCAATGCACAGACACACAGAGAAACAGTGACTTCCTGTTTCTAAAGTTAGTCTGCACCATAACATCCTCTTGGTTCATTTAGGTGAGCAGAAGCTGCTATTTTGGTTGATTGGCTTCACTGCAACTCGAACTATTCACAGATACTCACATCATGTATATCCAGAAAGAACTTTAAATTTGCAGTAAGTTGTTTGGGCTGCAGCGAACTCCAATGCCTCAGGTTACTATGAAATATTTGTTGGAGGCTGGCTTGTGCACAATAAAATGTTGCATTAACCTATCAATCAAAAAAACATTTACCATTAGACCTGCTTGTGCAGACAATAACACAGCCGCTAATATGCCATTCTCCGCCACTTTTTCCTCTGTTATTTCCGCTTTTCTGTACGTTTATAGGAATCCACAGCTGCTGGGCACATTCTGTCCCTCTGCTTCTGAGCAGCTGGAGTATCAATCTCCTAAAGTGTTCATCCTTCTCTGTGTGACTGTGTGTGTCCATCCTATGCACCCCAAGATATTAATAGCTTGCATTTGTTTCTTCTGAGAGTACACA